TTAGTAAGTTTGTCATTTTAGATTTTAAGTTCTCTTTTTAATTTCTAACCCTCTAAAAATCAGAATATCAAACATTTCAAATAGGGATATCAATGGGTCGGGTTAAATGGTAAACCCAGATTCACCCAACCCTATTGGGTTGGGTTAGAGTCAGCATATTCGGATTTAGGGTCGGGTTAGGATTTTTATCCTTCAACTCAGGTCAGGTTTGGGTTTTGACTTCTAACTCTATAGCTTTAAAGTTTAAGATTTATTTACATGTTGGTTTTAATTTTCTTCTTTTTTTTTTTTGAAATGGGAAAAGTGATACCTTAGGTCGTGTTTGGAATCAATTTAAGACCTATTGATGTAAAAGCACATGATGATGTTTTACACCGAACCATAAAAAAGTGACCATTAACTTCAAAACGTGTGGATTTTACATCGATCTTATTAATCTAGTATTTATAGTGACAATCCATGTAAAGCTTTACTTTTGATGAGGTTGTACATTGATAATAAATATAAAACTTTACTTTTGATGAGTTTTACATCAATAATCGATGTAAAACTCCACTCCATACAAACGCCGAAAAATCTGAACCGGAGTGGAGTTTTACATCAATCTTGATTTACACTCTTTCCAAACACCAACAAAACCAAACCAGCATAAATATTTACATCACTTTCAAATGCAGGCTTAAAATCTATAAAACGATTTCCTAACTTAAATTGATGGATTTTAGGTCTTCAAAACTTGTAAAGAAAAACAATTGAAATGCTATGGCCTAGGTCAAGTCCATATCAGGTTAGACCTTATAGGGTTGAGTCAAGTTTGGAAATTATGTACTTTTAAGGCGGGTCAGGTCAAGTTCAGGTTGAGGCACTAGAAGGTTAGGTTAGGGTTGAGGCAAACCCGTGTCAAACCCGACCCATTATATATCATCTACATTATATAAACATTTTTTATTTATCATACTTAATTTTTGTTTGATAAGTAAAATAATTTGATTTCTAGTTTGACACTAAATTTTATATTGCATCTCCATCATTGATAATGAATGTATATTATTAGAGATGTACCCAATATTTATTTTTATGAATATATAACATTATATATGTGCCCAAATTTTTTATTTTTTTGTTATTATTTATATTTCTATTTTTAAAATTTTTATTATTTGACTATGACATCATTTCATTTATAAGTTGATTTTAACTTTGATATTCCATTTTCATCATTAATAAAATTACTTCTTACATTTCATATTCATTTCTGCTTAGTATAATGAATGTGCAATATTAGATATATGTCCAAACCTTTTTATTTTTGTATTTTATTATATATTTAAATTTTTTATTATTTAATTATGACATTATTTATTAACCCATTTGACCCAAAATGGTTGAATTGCTTACCCACCATTGGGAGGGAAGAAAATAGTTTTTTTCAAAATATTTATTTTTATAATATTAAAATTAATTTTGTGGATTTAATAAGAGAATATACCTTAATATGAGATTTAATGAAAGAGAATAAGAAAATAGTTTTATTTCTAATTGTTTTAAATTTTAAATTCCATTTCCATCATTAATAAAAGTATTTCTTATTTATCATACTTATTATTATTTAACATGTTGAATATATAATGTTAAAAATGTTCCCATTTTTTTTAATTTCTATATTTTTGCATTTTATCTATTTTTCAATTTTATTATTTAATTATGACAACATGGATTGGCCCATTTGACCCAAAATGGTTTAATTTCTTACCACTGCCTAGATGAAAACACTATTTTTTTAGGTAGATTTTAAAAGTATGCTTTTATGTTATTGGAAATTATTAATTTATTATGTATGGATTTAATTAATACAATTTAATGATGAAATGAAATTAAAATTCCTTAAATATGTGATTCAATGAAGGTGAATGCAAATTAATACCTTAAGTGTTGGATTTAATGAAAGGAAATTGAATGCATTAAATATTTTATAATTATCTCTTTTCAACTCATTTAATTTTAATAATTGATTACCGTTTTGCCCTCATTTTTTATTAATAAGTTTAAATATAGAAGGGTAAATTTTGTCCTCAAAAAATTCCAAAAATATTACTGAGACTATTTGTGCTTATGGATTTAATAAGAGAATATACCTTAATATGAGATTTAATGAGAGAGAATAGGAAAATAGTTTTATTTCTAATTGTTTTAAATTTTAAATTCCATTTCCATCATTAATAAAAACATTTCTTCTTTATCATACTTATTATTGTTTAATATGTCGAATATATAATGTTAAAAATGTTCCCAATTTTTTAATTTGTATATTTTTTGCATTTTATCTATTTTTTAATTTTATTATTTAATTGTGACATGGATTGGCCCATTTGACCCAAAATGATTTAATTTCTTACCACTGCCTAGATGAAAACACTATTTTTTTAGGTAGATTTTAAAAGTATGTTTTTATGTTATTGGAAATTATTAATTTATTATGTATGGATTTAATTAAAAGAATTTAATGATAAAAAGAAATAAAAATTCCTTAAATATATGATTCATTGAAGGTGAAGGCAAATTAATACCTTAAGTGTTGGATTTAATGAAAGGAAATTGAATGCATTGAATATTTTATAATTGTCTCTTTTCAACTCATTTAATATTAATAATTGATTATCCTTTTGCCCTCATTTTTTGTCAATAAATTTAAATATAGAAAGGTAAATTTTGTTCTCAAAATATTCCAAAAATATTACTTAGGCTATTCGATGTTTTTTAAAGTAGTATAGATTGGAAGCTCTACCATTGTTTTATGCATTATTAATAAAATTATTATATGATATGTATGTGTTTTATATTCCAAGTATTATTGATTGTAATATATCACTTTATATAAAGAAATGAAGCAAATTTATTATGCTCTATGACTTATTCATAATTATTTCAACTTTAGATTTATTATTATAATGGATCCATTTCTTACCACCATATCCATGTGTGTCCAAAGTATATCATGATCTGTATCCATACCCAAGTTTACCAATGTGAAACAAAATACCAATACTTTGAACCTCATCTCAAGATCAATTTGATTATATGCATGCATACATGCATATGTACATAGTTACATATACAATGTGTGTATTTAGTGTTAATTCAATTTATACACATTTTTATATTAGAACAATTGATTTTTTTATTAATATATATTTCTTATTAATTTCAAATACCAAAAAAACAAGGTTGATATGTAACTTGCAAGCTTGACTAATTTTTCAAACTTTCAAGCTGAACTCCACCTTATTTAATATTTAGTCGAATCAAATCCAAACTAAACCTCAAATATAGGAATATTTTAGTCAAACTAAAACAAGATATGTTCAAGTTCAACTCAACTTGGTTCAGTAGCACTCTTATTCAATTAGATTAAACTTGCTAAGGGAGTGTTTAGTACGGATGAAATGAAGATGGCTTGTTTCAAATTTCAATCCATGGCTCATTTTCATTGACATTCATTTAATACCAAGGCATGGAAGGACCCACCATATCTCATAATTTCTTGTCTAAAATCTAAATCCCATGCATCAATCCACACTCCACACCACAAAACACAATGCATTACAAGTGTGATCTAGTTGAAACAACAACACAATATTATCCAATGAATTCGAATGCGTCATTCAACATCTAGTCCACAATGTTGAATAACCTCTAAAGACTGCTTAATTCATCGCCTGAGCAAGTTGGAAAAGGGGAGGGACCTCTTACGAACAAGTGTATGAATTGGACTATATAACGAATCACAAATGAATATGCAATGGTTTGTAATTTTCAACTCTTTTTTTTGGCTTTTTAAGCATTTAAGCTTTTCGTCTAAACTCTGAAATATAAAGAAAGAAGTCAATTCCATTCTTGATAAAGAAAAAGAACATGGTGAAGTATCAATATCTATTTATCATAAAGATGATAATTAGTATCCGCCGAGAAAGTGAGCACCTACACGAGAAGATGTAATAGAGCAAAGAACTTTTTTTTATTTCATGCGCATGCAACCGATGATTTGCCGGGCATTTGAGTTGTTTTCGATCGGAATCTCGCCGGAATCTGGACGCTCGTATCCCAAATTCAAAGAGGCCTTCGTCGATCTACTTATTGTGCTGGTAGTTTCGAAGAAACAACGGTCTTGTAGACAATTTTTTTGGGATGCGGATCTGTTTACTTTGGAAGTTGTCTTGTAGATAATTTTTTTTGCGATGCGGATCTTGTCGGAATCAATTTCTTTTTTGCGATGCGGATCTGTATACTTATTTCTTGCAGATAATTTTGGAAGTTGGGTTTCTTTGTGCTGGTTTCCTTTCATTACAAAGGCTATTTCTGTACGTCCCTTTTTGTTCTCTCGGTATCTCAATTGGAAGGCAGGTTGTTAACTCAGAGTTGCAGACTCGAAGGTGGTCTGAGAGACGCCTCACTTCATGTTCTCTCTCGGTGATACTCTCCATCTGAAATCTGAACTTTTTGAGCTCGACTGGTTCGGGCCGTTCAACTTCATCAGCGGAACTGAGAACTGCCAGAAGGGAGAAAAGATACACCATGGGTCTAGTTCATCAACTCCAGCTCCAGCTCCAGCGGTGGCACAAGAGGAACAGGCGCTCACCGCCGCTCAAGGTGCTCTGTTTCTTGGCCGACCGGCAAGGACTGTAATCTCTCGATTGCAGTGGACTTTTACACCACTGTTCTTCCAAACGTACACAAGTGTAAAAGCAACATAGAACCGGTTCAACTTTTGCATTTATCCATCTGATCGTTTTTTATTTACACTAGGTGTATTTTTGCATTTACACCTCAAACAAACGAAGCCTAAAGAAATTCAAAGGCTTGAAAGCTACGGACGGTAAATTGGGGTTTAGTTCCCAAATGGGAAAATCCGGTAAAGAGCAACCTCAGAAAACAAGAATAATTGTCGAGATTAAAAAATCCAATTAAAAGGGAAGGAGATTTAAACAAACAGGGGTCGAGAATATCAACAAGAAAACTGCAATTTGTTTCAATTAGATTTATCGAGCTTACAAAACACCGGTTAGAACACATAGCGAAACATAAAGAGAAAACCCTAAAACTAAACCCCACCCCCTCCCAAAACTAAAAATAAAATAAAATCTAGACCACAGAACCCATCTATACAGAAAAAGTAAACAGAAAACCGCCATAAAAATGATTCAAGCACGCTCGCCCCTGATCCGACGAGCGAGTTGAATGTCCTTCGGCATTATAGTGACTCTCTTAGCATGAATCGCACAGAGGTTGGTATCTTCGAAGAGACCTACCAGATACGCCTCTGCTGCTTCTTGAAGTGCCGCAACGGCGGAGCTCTGGAACCGAAGATCAGTCTTGAAATCCTGAGCAATCTCACGAACCAAACGCTGGAAAGGAAGTTTGCGGATCAGAAGCTCGGTACTCTTCTGGTACTTCCTGATTTCTCTGAGAGCCACTGTTCCTGGCCTGAATCGGTGTGGCTTCTTCACGCCACCTGTGGCGGGAGCAGATTTCCTGGCAGCCTTTGTTGCCAGTTGCTTCCTCGGAGCCTTTCCTCCGGTGGATTTCCTGGCAGTCTGTTTAGTACGCGCCATTGGAGAAGATTATTAGAAATTTGAGGAGTTCAGATTACAGAAGAAGAGATGAAGGGACAAAAGAGCAAAGCTAACGATGGAGGGTGGAATCAATATTTGGGTGTACATTTATAATGGAAGTTCAAACTTGTCGCGGGAAGAGAGAAGCGATGGCGACCGTCGATGGTTTAGATGTTATCGACGGATGTGGTTCATTTCAAGGGCTTCACACGGATTGCTTCATTGCTTGTTAAGAGGTTTGTCAGAATCGTGGTTGACTGGCCGGTCTTATTACGAAAACGCCACTACTTGTGTTATTTGTTTTTTTTCGCTTCAGGTATTTGTGTCACTGGAAGGACCGTGAGATGCAGAGGATTTGGTAAAAGAAGTGAAATAAAATAATGTAGTAAATAAATAGACTCTCCACATTTAATGTATTTAATGTTATAAAATAATAAACTTAATTAATGTAATTTTTATGTCAAAAAAATTACTTTAAACTCTCCGCATTTTATAATAGTGTTAATTATTTAAAAATATTGTAATTATTAAAAATACTGTTAATTAATAAATACATTATTGCTAATAAATACTGTTAAATATAATTTATTACAGCTTAAAAAATAATTACTATTTATTAATAAATACATTATTTTGTAATATATTTGTAGTAATTTATTAAAAAACTGTAATTATCAAAAATAATTACTATAATTATACTGTTAATTATTAAAATAATTTAGATGCATTTTTCAAATAATGCTAATGAATAACATACTATTTTTAATAAATTTCCTTAATTAATAAAATTATTGTAATTACTGGAAACACTAAATTTATTAAAAATATGGTTAACTACTAAATACTGTTAATTAATATAATAACTGTGTTTTTTCCAAAATACTGTAATTATTGAATGGATAATTAATAAATACAGTTAATTAATAAAATACTATATTTATTAAAAACACTTTTAATTAAAATACCGTAATTATTACAAATAAAGAAATGATGTATTTATTAAAAATATTATAATTATTAAAAATATGGTTAATTCATAAATACCATTAATTAATAAAATATTGTACTATATTTATTAATAATACTGCAATTATTGAAAATACTATATATTTAGAAATATTGTTAATTAGTAAATACTATTAAATAATAAAATAATATATTTATTAAAACACTATATTTTTTAAAAGCATTTTTAATTAAACATACTACAATTATTAATGTTGTATTTATTCAATAAATTCTATTAATTAATTAGTCATAATTATTAAAAATACTATATTTATTCAAAATATTGTATTTATGAAAATACTATAAATTAATAAAATATTTTAGCATTAATAAATACATAATTTTAGTAAATTCTGATAATTATGAATTATTAAAATACTATAATTACTGCAATTATTAAAAATACTATATTTTTAAAATCACTATAATTATTGAAAATACTATATTTATATCAATATTGTTAATTAATAAAATAATATATTTATTAAAAACACTATATTTTTTAAAAGTATTGTTAATTAAACATACCACAATTATTAATGATAATGTATATAATGAAAATATTGTTTTTAAAAAAACATGGTTAATAAAATATTGTTTTTAATAAATATAGTGTTGTAATAAATTCTATTATTTAATTAATCATAATTATTAAAAATACTGTATTTATTCAAATATTTTATTTATGAAATTACTATAATTATCAAAAATACTATATTTAAAGGGGATTATAACATATAAGGTCAACTTTAGGGCCCTAATATCAATAAAATAATACTTTAAAAAAAAATCAAAAATAGGTAAACTTTTTAAAACTAATATCAATTAAGGGCAAAAACAATGTTCATCTTCTTCCTCTTTGCAATCCATTCATCAGCGTCGTCATCCACCACCTCCGGCAACACCTCCGCCTATCTCCACCCACCACTGCCTTCAACAACATTGCTAGAGGTGGGGAGAGGCAGAGGTGGCGGCAGTGGCGATGGTGGTCATTCCTCTGCCCAACGCTGCCACCTCTGCCTCCGTCCACCTCCGGTAACACTGTCGGAGGCAAAGGCAGAGGTGGCGGTGTTAGGCAAAGGAATGACCACCAGCGCTGCTGCCGCCGCCTTTGCCTCCTCCCACCTCCAACAACGTTGTCGGAGGCAGTGGCAGTAGATGGCGGCAGACGACAGCACTGATGAATGGATTGCAAGAGGAAGAAGATGAACAGTGTTTTTGCCCTAAATTGATATTATTTTTAAAAAGTTAACCTATTTTTGAAATTTTCTTAAAAATATTACTTTTATTTATATTAGGACCCTAAAGTTGCCCTTATTTTCTATAATCCCTATTTAAAATACTCTATTTAAAAAAACTATTCATTAATAAAATACAATAAAAAATAATGTATTAATATTATTTTGTGAAAAATTATTTTTATTATTATTATTATTATTATTATTATTATTATTATTATTATTATTATTATTATTATTATTATTATTATTATTATTATTAATCCATCCGTATAGTATACGGGTTGCTAACATATGTAGAAACTTGTGTAATGCACGGGTTGAACATAAAAGATCTGAATGGATCTCCGCTAACAGGTCGCGTGTGACCCGATATGACCACCTTCTTCACCCGCACGTTGAAACGGGTCATGCACCAACCCGGGTTAATTTTCTGTTTTTTTTTTCACTTTTGTTGCTCATTTGTTGTGGATTTTAAGCCAGTAATGAGTTTATTTGGATTTTTGGCTTCTAATGAGTCATTTTTTTGTGGATTTTAGAACCAAAAAAACCATATATTTTTTAAAATCATACCTGATGTATTGTTGCTGCAAGTTTAATGCTTGAACCGGCTTGAACCAAGCAAAAAGCATATGAACACCTCCAACAAAGAGAACCAAATCGCCAACAAAGAGAAACTTTGAATCTGCAGCCAATGAAGAAAAACTTTGAATCTAAAATTAACTCTATAAAAAAAATAGTTTGTTTGAGAAGTAACTCTAAAACAAAAAAAAAATGCATTTGAAACTATCTCACATTTAGAACAATCTGTATCTGTGCAACTATCTTAGCTAGAAACGTCTCATGTATTAAAAGAGAGTAAAGAGAGAGAGAGAGTTTGGAGTAAAGACTGAAAGTGTGCAACTATCTTAGTTCGAAACTTCTCCTATGTTGTCAAAGAGAATAAGAAAAGAGGGAGAGAGCTTGGACTAAAGACTAAAAGAAAGAGGGAGAGTCGTTTGAAGTTCCTGGCAGGAGATGCATCGGAAACCCAAATGTTTCCTGCAAAATGTTCCTTGCAAATTAATCTCATTGGTTCTGGTTAATATTACGTGGAACAAAAAATAAGAAAATACAAAAAAAAATAGAAAATTAGAATGGGGGGTTTCCTGCAAGGAAAGGGCTGGAACATGTTTTATTGGCCAGAGTAGAACATGGTGGATCCCACTTTTATGATGGGTCCCAGTCTCATGGTGAGATGTACAATGTTAGATCAAGTTGGTAGAGGGTTGGAACATGTTTTATTAGCAAATTTCAACTTAAAAATGCCTAAAAAGGCCAGAGTCTAAATGGTTTAAATCCCAATGTAAAAAAAAAGGCTACCTAGTTTCCAATTTTAAGCTTTTTTTTTAATAAATTGACTCTCATATTGAGTCAGGACATTGATTCTTCTCATTGTTGACAAAAGAAATCCAACAATAAACTCTCCAACACTCTATCTACTCTCATCGACTCCTCCCCTTCTTTCCTTGTTCCTTTCTCTTATTTCTCCATATTTTTCTCTCATCAAACGATAAGCTTTAATCCTATTTTTTTCTCTTTATTGTTGTTGTTGTTCTTCTTCTATGTTTGCATTGTTTGAACCCTAACGTATGAACAACAACTCTAGATGTATCTTTGGAATTATATTATTATATTATAGAACATGCATTTGTTTTGTTCAATAGGGCCAAAATAATTAATATATATATATATATATATATATATATATATATATATATTACATGATGAAGATGTAATGTACACACAAATGCAATATGTAGGTTGAATGTTCGTTAAACAAGTTTAATGTGGACCTTTTTTATAATAATTAGTAGGGTTTAATATGCAAATACATTATGAGTTATTGTGCTCAATAGCCTGGTGACACACGTCTATAAAAGTTTGAAAGCAAATTGGTGTTATCAAACGAGTCCGGGTCAGTTGGATTTTAATCTCATAAGAGATTAAATCCAATGGGTTTGATTGGTCAATTACATGAGAAATTGCACCTGCACACTTGATTGAAAAATTAGCTTTTCTCTTACAAAACCCAGTTTTGAACTTGTCCCACATTGGAAAAGTATAAGCTTTGTTTTGAGTATTTTAATTGGAGCTGATTTACACTCCTTAGAAATAGTAGAGGAGAGTATGGGGGTTTGATACCGCACAATGCGTGCGCACGCGTGTGTGCAGCGCAATTCGCACGCACCCGTGTGACTAGCTAAGTTCAAGGTTTGAAATTGTGACTATTCAAGGTGCCTTCTTTGAACCAACACTTACCTTTTCTTCATACCTCTTCATAAACTATTTAAAGAGCATGAATCACACTTCAAAAACACACATTTTCGAAATCCACTTTGTCTCTCTCTCTCTCTCTGTCCAATTTGCTACAGTCTCATAGAAGGTTTTTTTGGAGTGCAAATTCTCGCCCAAGGCTCTGTTGTATCCTGTGAATGGATTTGCCTGTAACCCAACAATAAACTCAGTGAAACTGAGTGGGGGCAAATAACGTTCTAAAGATAGTGTCTTCAGACGTGCCTTAGAGCTTCTCCTCCAAAGTTACAATGACCCCTTTTTCCAACAATTTTAGAACGTTATTCTGTAATTGAGGTGGAAGCAAGCATGACTTCAATCAAGATGATGAACCAAGATCTTGTTCGACTAGACCAGTTCGAGGGAGCAAACTTCAGCCGATGGCAAGAAAAGATGATATTCTTTCTGACCACACTAAAACTATACTATCTGCTGGACCCGAATCTGCAATCACTTCCTAAACCCACTGACAAAGACTCAGAAAAACTAAAGAAGGAAA